CAAACTTCTTATTGGGGAATCCAAGAGGTACCAGTGCTGCTCCCCGCCTGACCTCTCCCGGGGTGCGTTCCGACCTGAATTTCGGGGCGAATCTAGCGGTGGCGACGAGGACCTCCCAGGAGGCCCCAAAAGGGGAAAACGGCCGAAGGGTAGAAACATGGGTACCTTCTCCTCCTCTGAGGTATGGCTGTGCGAATTTTCTGTCGCGATCGGCCTGGAGGAAGCGGGCCCCGGACTTCGGTTCGCCGCTCGGACCCTGGGGGTGCCTGGGGCCCCGGAATCGTGTTCGGGCAGATGCTGGCACGGATCTGGCGCGCAGGAGTCAGGTCCTCGGCTCGGGGAACCTTTCCCCGACAAATTGCGCCAGTGCCGCCTGGTGTGGCGGCGGAGCACGGCGATTCTGTATGGCAGCGGGACCCGTCTCTAATCCACGCGCCTTACTCCATGTTTTCGCGTCCTCGAAATTTAAAAGACGACTCGGGAAGGAGAGTGGGTCCTGAGTGGATCGGGTCAGAAGACAATGAGGCGAGCACAGATCGAAGCGGGGTTCGCGAGTCAGCTGCATGCGGCTGCAGCTCAGGACGGGGGCGCCCAGGCATACGTTCCTGGACTCAGCCACGCGCAGAGGGGGAATGGGGGGAGGGGGGAGGGCTTCTTGGAAGCACCCCTGCTCCTCAGAAGGCGCGGCCTCCCCCCTCCATCCACCCCGTTGTGCGCACCGCCAATGGACGATCTGCCAGGGGTGGCGACGATCTACCAGTTGAGTACTGTTTAACCGATCCCCAGCCCCAGCGGCGTGGCCTGGGCCCCACTGGCCGATCTACCCCACTAGATGGGGACATAGGCCGTTCCCTTCGGCTTTCGAGGGGGCTCAAGCCGCGACGGCTTAACAAATTTTACTGTCCAAGTTTTTCTTCAGAAGTCCGGTCGGCCTCACGCGGTCTGAGCCGAACATTGCGATCTGCAGAGGGTGTTCAAAGCACGTGCGCTCGAGCCCTGCTGACCGGAGTGGAAAAATAGCCGAGGAAAAGTGCAGCTGTCAGACGTCCGATCTGTCACCTCGTCTGTTGCTCATCGATGGGGTGGTAATTTGGCGGGGGTCTCGAAGGGATGGGGATGGGGATGAGGATCGGTGAAACGATACCGATACCTGGACCAGGGGTGGCGGTCGCAAGCGGACCAGACCTCGGGGCGAGCTCGTCAACGGACCTACAAGGCCCTCGGAGGCTCCGACGCCACGCTCTCAATTCTCAATGGCTGGCCGGAGGCTACAGGTGCCTTCCGGGAAGGCCCTGCAATCGGGAGCGGCCAAGAGGGGGGTGTCCAAGAGGGGGGGGTGCAAATCATGACCGGCGGCATGTGCGCGGCCCAGCGGGGGGGCCAGGGACGTAATGAAATAAGAAGAGGCGCCATGGTATCTGGGGAAAAATCATGGCCCCCGCCATGATATCCACCCCCCCCTAGTCATCACCCCCCTCTTTTCCGCCCCCGATGCAAGAGCTCCCACACGCCAGGGAAGGTTGGCACACGCCAGAGCTCTGCAAGAGCTTCCACACGCCACACGCCATACGCAAGATGGGTTCAAGACGGCCCAAGATGCCTTCGGGACGCCCCAAGAGAGCCCCAGGAGGACGCCGCGAGGGCCCGGAATGGCAAACGTCGTCCCAATCCCTCCGGGAAAAGGCGGCCCAAGAGAGCCCCCAAACGGCCTCAAGAGAGGCCACGGAGGGGGAAAAAGGCCGCCACCCAATAAAAAACGTACCCAAATTATCCGATACGTTATTTTCGGTGGAGATTTGGGCGCTCGTCGATTTTCGGTCGCGACCTGGTACCGCGGTACGGGATTTTTCGGTCGCGTCGGAAAATTGCGCATACGTGGAATTTTGGGAGAATCGAATTCGGTAGCTGAGCAACGAAATTCGGTAGCGAATCCGAAGCGGAAATCGGAGGCAGGGAAACGAAATTAGGTAGCGGGGAGTCGAATCTCGCTACCACGAAAATCAGTCACGCGAAGATCGGAAACGCGAGAATCTGCGGAATCACCACTGTCACCGACATCAGCACTCGTCAAAGTCCACCAACGGCCATCACTGAAATTCGGTAACGACGATCACGAACTTTGGTAGCGCCGAAACGAAATGTGTTAGCGATGACCCGCTCAAATTCGTTAGCACCGAAACGAATTTCGATTGGCCGGTCTCCAGGCGCAATTTCGATCGTGCATGCAATGCGCTCGATACAGGATTCGAAGGCTACTTTCCGGCATTTCGGTCGCGACCGAACCCTGTGAGGCGCTGCCGGAAACTGTCATCGGCCGATCTGGGCACAGGCTTGGCGTACTCGCATTCTTGTTCGTGACCGGCGCCCGCGAAGCGCCAAGACGCCCCGAAGGGATGCCCGAAGGACGCTCCACGACGGGGGTCCCCCGGAGAGCTCCGGGAGGCGTCGGGAGGCGGCCGCGGAGAGCCCCGCGAGCGGCCCAGAGGCGCAGCTCGAGCAGACCTCGCGAGCCCGCCCCTGCCCGGAGCCTGCCGAAACCGCCAGCGGGCGCACCAGAAGTGCACAGCCCCAAGACCCCCAGATGGGAGGGGCCCTGGGACACACAGAGAAGCACACACACACACACAAGTCACAGGAGTCCGCATACTTTCCCATATTTTCTGGGCTTCTGTGGCCCCCCCCCTTCTAATATCTTTCCAAATTTTCCTGGGAATCGACGATTCCTTATGTCTGTGTGTGTTTTTTCCCCTCCTGAAAGAAGTCCACAGCCCCAAGACCCCCAAAGGGCTCCCCCTGTGTGGGCCCCGGAAACGGCAGGGCAGTTTTTTCACCGTTTCCAGAAAAATGTCCATTGAAAATGGAAACGGCAAAAAACAGCGACCAGAAACAGCAAAAAAACGGCTCCAAGATCGGAACTGGAGCCAGAACCAGTCAAAAAACGGCGACGGAACCGGTTTAAAAACGGCGTCGGAACCGGTAAAAAAACGGCCCTGCCGTTTCCAGGAGCCCCAAAGGGCTGCCCCAGCAATCACCATGGCCCCGAAGGCCTCGCCCGTGGACGCCGTTTTCCCGTCGTGGGATCGACGGCATGGCGCGCACACCTCTTGACGAGGTACTGCTGTTCCCCCCCCTGCGGCAAACACTGCACTTTCGATCGAACTTCTTTTCGATTGCATTTTCGGTTGAACTTCAATTATTGTTGCTTCCCCCCCCTGGCGGCACTTCCATCTGAAGTGCCGCCCTCGGAGCCCACACCATCCTGATTTGAAGCTGGCCCCCTGGCCCCCGAACTTTAACAACAGCGGCTCCCGCCGGACACTCCCCCGCGGTGTATCGAGAAAGCCCGCTCCCGCTCGAGAGCTCCTTGCAGTACATACAGGAGTCGCGCTCTCGCGTGGGACTTCCCACCACTTTTGCTCTGGCGCCGCGCCCTGGACACTCAGGAGTCACGCTCACTCCGGGACTTCTTCATGCATTACTTAAGTCGGGCGTGTCCCCCTACAGGGAGATTTCTAAGAAAAACTATTCCAAATAAAAAACACCAACATGGTAAACAAAAAAATGTGCTCAACAAAATAGTCCCCAGGCTATTTCTTCTACTATTTTTGAATACTCCCCCTGAAGAGGGACGGGCCCGACCTAACACATTACCCTTGGGATCGCGCCCTCGCCCGAGACTCGATGGCGATGCCTGCACTGCTCATGCGGGCGCGACCCGCCCGCCAGGCCCGCTCGTCGAGGTCTGGGCCCGGCGGCCCGCCGCGCCCGTTCAGGCCCGCAGGCGCCCCCTGCGGCCACTCGGCATCCTTCGACGCCCATCGCTGCCCTCCGCGGCCCCGCGATCGCCATTCGCGACCCCCGCCGAGGCCCTCGCAGAACGGATCGTCCTCCCTCCCTCTTACCGCTTACCCCTCCCCTCATGCCCCCCTTCCTCCCCTCCCTTCGTCCTCCTTCTTTCCCCGTTCCTTGCTCCCTCGTTTGCCTGTGTTCGGGGGAAGGGGATCCATATATACCACGTCTACTCCCCAAGGACGCACGGTCTAAAACCAACAGGGCGGGTATCCAGGATCCGGGATATACATGTCAAGTGACACGCGAGCAGATAAGAGCGAACACCATGAACATGATTATTGTTGTTGTCGTCGTCGTCGACCCCCCCGCGCCCCCCCTGCGACCCACCCCGCGACCTACCCCGCGACCTACCCTGCGACCCACCCGCGACCCGCCCCGCGGCCGCCCCCTCACTTTGTCACCAACAGAGACTGCCCTGCGGCGAGCCGAAAGAAAAGGGCGAGAGGGGGGAGAGGAGGGGAGGGGGGGAGGGGGACTGCGGCGGGCGCCACGCAACGCCCGCACAACCGGCGGAACATCCGATCAGTCAGAGGCCTCTGGCGCCCTGGGGTGCGCGGACAATTGCGCCTTCCCCGAAGCTCTGGGACTTGCCGAAGCCCTGCCGAGGGCCCAGCAAGGGCTCGAGAGGCTCCCGAAGGCTTGCCAAAAGCCGAAGAAGCCGGAAACCGATTGCCGATTGCCCCGATCCTGGACGCTCCTCGACACTCCTCGACACTCCTCCTCCTCCTCCTCCTCCTCCTCCTCCTCCTCCTCCTCCTCCTCCTTCTCCTGCCTCAGAGAAGCCACAAGCCTCGATCCTCGACCCTCCTCCCCCCACATCCTCTGTCCTACACGAGGGTGGCCCGCTTGGCGCAACACCTCGAGCTTCGCGAGGCACCGACCCAGCCAGGCCCATACTACAGGACCAGGGACTGGGTGCCTAGAAAACAAAAAACCGCTCCTCCACTTGAATCAGTAATGGATGCTGCCATCCCCCCTCCTCCTCCTCCGTCCTCCTCCTCCTCCTCCTCGTCGTCCATTTCCTCCATTTCCTCCATTTCCTCCTCCTCCTCCTCCTCCTCCTCCTCCTCCTCCTCCTCCACCGCCTCCTCCTCCTCCTCCTCCCCCACGGAGGCAGGGGGAGGCCCTGAGGGACCGGGGTGGCCGTCCCGGGGCTTGGCGAACAGCCGGCTGTCCACCTCGCAACCGGAGCCGTCCAGCCGCCCCGTGATGTCGACCTCGCCGCACGGCGAGCGGGGAGGGCGAAGAGATCTATACACGTCCACGGCTCCTGGACAGGCCCATCCTGGCCCAGGTGCGGTGCATTGGGGTTCTGCAAGGGGGGACCACCCCCAACCCACCATGCCCACAATTTTCTTTCGCTGGCCCGATGCCGAGCGCACAACCCGAGCACACCGTGGAGGCAATGCGAGCCACCCATTGTGTGGCCCAGTGGCCGAGGGAGGAACAGCCTCCGGGGATCGCGGGCCCACGTCACCGCAGGCTGCCGAACCGCGGCGCGAAGCATCTCCCAGGCGACGGGAAGCGTCAGGAAGGCGTCTTGGCAAAGGGGTATCGGGGGGGGTCTCGCGGGCGCCCTAGCGGTTTCCGGAAACGCATGGGGGCGCTGAAACTCCCAAACTCAATAGTTGCCCCACATTTTCCCTTCCCCTCCACAGAATTCGCGCATGAATCGGATCAGGCGGGGGGGCACCAATGCCAATCTGGGTTGGCGCGCCGAATTGGCGCGTGCCCCCCCCACCCATTCGGGACATTCCGCCAAATCAGGGGGGGACAAAAAATCACTGAGAAAACAAGGATCCGCAAATTTGCCGAAGCGACGCCGGCCTGGCCAAAGGGCGGTAGCCCCTTGCAAGCCCAGAAAGAACGCGCCTGTATGCGATACTTTCAGCAGGGCACATTGTACCGCGACCAGCGTTCGAATGGAACATCGCGTATACATTGAACACCACCTCTCCTCCCTCTCTCGATTGACCGCGCCGTCCCTCCCTCCTTCCTTCCAAGCCCACGCATGCCCTCTCCCCCTTCCTCGAAGACAATGAAGTGCTGCGCTCGCTGCAAGACGCCAGCAAAAATCGGCTGGATTGGGGGTGGTCCCCCTTGCAGCCTTCTAAATGTATGCGCCCTCCTGGCTTGGCCAGGGCCTGGGAGGCGTATGCACCGCTCCTGGGCCCAGGATGGGCCTGGCCGGGGACAGTGATCTGCACAATTTTCATCGCCCAGGGGGGGGGGGGGGCAATGAAGGAGACCGCGTAAATGTTAGAAGGCAACTCCTGGGATGCTGGAGATCGTTTTATGCCCTTTTCGGTGATATCAGGTGGTGTGGGCGTGGAGGGAATTGTGGGTGGGGGGGGGGGGGGGACGCCTTTACGTTTCGGGCAACCCGCCGCATGCCCGCGCGCACCAATAAACACTGCGTTGCCTGGTTCTCGGGGGAGAGGCAAGGCTGGCGGGCCCGATAACCTAACAGTTCCCTAACAGCACGCGCTCAAACCAATCTGGAGAAGGGATGCGGCAGCGCAGGGCGATGAAGGCGCTGAAGGTATCGGCGCGGGCTGTCGGACCCCGAGGTGGGGACTCCCTCCCGTTGGAGCGGGGACCCGACAACACACACACACACACGCACACTTTTTTACGTCGGCGGTTAGGCAGAGTGACTGCCCTGGCGGAGACAACACACACACACACACACTTGTCCATCGGTGGCGAGGCAGAGTTGGCTGCACCAGCGAGGGGCTAGACGGGGGTACCGTAACGCGAATTGGCCAGCGTGCGCGATGTGAAAACGGGGAGGCAATGCGGCCGCGGGGGGTGATGGGAGATGAAGCCGCTCGCTCAGGGCGGGACGGGTCTGCACCTGAGCATGCTGGCGCGGCCAACCCCGCCGGCGGACACACAAACACACATACACACATAAACACGCACGCACACACACGTGCACACACGCACACACGCACACGCCCACACGTACACACGCACACACACACACACACGCACACACACACGCACACGCACACACACGCACACGCACACGCACAGACACACGCACAGACACACGCACAGACACACGCACACACACGCACACACCCATAGCCCCTTTCTCTCTCATTTCTCATTTCTCGCTATGCAGCGTCTTCATAGCCCCTTTGGGATTCCACCCCGAGATACACCGGGGTCGCACAGGTGCGGCTGTTAAGTGTCAACTCACGATCAACGGAGGCCGCGCAGAAGCTACGGGAAAGATAGCGTGCAAGTTCGTTCTACGAAGAGCACACTATCCTCGGGGTCGCGCAAACATGGATTAGCGATCCATGGATTTGGCGCGCGGTCGCCAAATCCATGGATCGGGGGAAGCGCCCTCCCCAAAATGCGGCCGGTGCCGCCTCGCTCGGCGGCGGAAACCCGCGGTTTCCCATGGAAACGGGACCCGCCGCCAATCCACGCCCCCTTAATCCATGTTTGCGATCGCCTGATATCCATGTGAGGCGACCCACCCCGCGAGGCCCCCTCGTGAGCGTGCAATCCCCATGCCAGGGCGTATTCGGTGCAGGCTATCCCCCAAGAAGGGCGATAGCGCGCAATGAGCGGCCCGGCGGCGGCACATCGCACGCTACATTTCAAACGCCAACCGTAGGATGCAACTCCTGGGAAGTTTTCGCAAGCAAGATGGAGGGCTCTGGCTGGATTGGGGTGCCAATTAAGAATGAGTTAAGCAAAAATAGGCGGGATTACGCCCGCTTTCGACAACGGAAATACCAGCACAGAAGCTGAATTGAACTTTCCAATGGTTGCATTCCATCATATGGTGGGACTAAAGACAGTCGGGGCTGATTGCAGACGGTACTCCAGATCCCTTATTCATCGTCCTCGGGGTCCTGGGTCCAATCTCTTGAGGCGCTTGTTGGGAAGGGAGACCTGGTTCATCGTTCAGGTGGTCCGGTTTATCAGGGTGCCTTTTGTGCATGCGATTCCACGTCATACGCACGTGATGTTTTCGAAGCTCGCGCTCGCGACCACCAGCCTGCGGAGTATGATCGTCGTCAGCATCATCATCACGCCGACAAATTTCCAAACCATTTCTGCACCTTGGATGTTTTGTGACAAGTAGCGGGATTGGTGCGCCGGGTTTGGGCCCCTGTCGCCCCATCAGGTTTTTCACGCAGTGGCCTTCAGGACCCCATGGGCTTTGGACTGGCGTGGGGCTTCTCGCGCTTTCTGGCCAGCTGGCGTCGAAGTCGGGCCGTTGTCGCCTCGTGCGGTTCCATGCACCATGCATATTAATCATATGCAGGGGGGGGGGCATAGATTGCCTGCCTGCTTGTTTGCTTGGCTGCTTGATTGACTGATTGCTAAACTGGCTGCGTGCTGGGCGGATTGCGTGCTTCGCTGTGCTTGTTTTGCCACTTGCTTGCTTCGTAGCTTCTGGCGCTGATTGCTGAGCTACCTGTGCTACCATGCTTAATCAGCTGCGTGCTTGGCCCATTTCTCGCTTGCTTTCTGTCCTGCGCGCTTGCTTGCTTAACTTAGCAGCTGGGTTGCATGCTAGCCGCTCGGAGGCCCTGCGCAGCCTTGGGTGACTTTCGGAAGCCCTCGGCGGCCCTCAGGCGAGTTAGCGATGAAGGCAATTAGAAAGAGAGAGAGAGAGAGGAACAACAAAGAGAGAAAGAGAGAGAGAGAGAAAGGAACAAAAAAAGAAAGGCACACACAACAACATGATAACGGATGACTGCGCCGTGTGCAACACGAAGTCGTCTTCATGCCGTAGTGGGCGGATCCGCGATGCGCGCTGCGGTCATCGTCGCGCCCCCCGAGGTGACCTACTCAGGCCCCAGGGACAAAAGTTCGCCTAGCAGCACACCCCTCACGCGGATCGGAACATGCACCGCAAGTAACTGCACGTACGGCGCCAGAGGGAAGCTTCGCACAGCGTCGCCCCGCTCACTTCGGCACGCCTCTCGGACGGATCGTGCCCCGCAGGCTGCCCCCTCGCCGACTTCGACGCACCTCTCACACCGATCGTGCCCCACAGTGAGTTCCAACGACTGCCCCAGAGACAGGAATCGCATAGCACCCCTCCCGCCCATTGCGGCACACCCCTCGTGCGGATCGTGCCCCGCAGGAAGGAACACCCACAGCCCCAGAGACAAGGTTCCTCACATCGTCCCCCGACCATTTCGGTCCACCTATGGCCCGATTTGGCAATGTCGCATGGCGGCCCAACACCCATGTCGGCACATGCCTCAAACGGGTCGTGCCTCACAGGATGCTCCACGAGCGGTCTCAATGGGTGTGTTCTCGCAGCGGCACTCGGATTATTCGGCATCCCCTTCACGCAGATAGTGCCCAACAAGGAATTTCGCATATGAAGAGGTGGCCGCGCCCTGCGCTTCACGCCACTGTTCGCCAGCTAAGTGTTTGTTCATCGAAGATGCCTACGGCGAATGACCGCCGCCCCCTGCCTTTTTGGAAGGCCTATGCGACCGAAAATTGGGTTAGAGCTTGGCCAAGCGATCGGACCGTGTGCTCCCCTAGTCGGTTTGAGAAGCCGACGGGGAACACGTGAGCGAGAATGAACACAATAAGGAAGTTGATCATGTTTCATTTGCCGTTCACTGGGGGCCCCTCTGGACCGTCTTTGGGCTGGCCTAACATGAAGGTTGGTTGTTAAAATCCGTATTTCATTTAACAAAGTAGAAGCGTCTTGTTTTACGATTGCTGGTATCCAAACTTTGGGCCACAGCCTGGCAAAACTAGTGGACCATGTGTTCCCCCAGCTGTTGTGGGTGCCTTTATGTGGCCGTCTTCGAGCGCTCCTGCCTCGTCTGACGCCGTCGAAAGCCCTCTCGGGGGCATGTCTGGGCCGCCTTGGGGCCCTCTTGGGGCGCTTCAGAGCCGTCTTGGAGGCCCCGTCTTTGAGGCCTCTTGTGCCGTCGTGGGGCCACCTAGCCAAAAACCTCTCAGAACGTCCAGCACGCCTGGCACCCCTGCGGCAAGCCAACAGGGGGCCGTGGATCTACTAGTGTTCTGCCCATCCTGCCGCCGTGCCTGGGTTGTGGGCCAGAAGATCGTTTGATACCTGTTGGGGTCTGTTGGCATGTTTCTCGGGCACTTCTTGGAGCCAATTCTAAAACATCTTGAGGTCTTTCGGGAGCCGTTTGGGTACTCCTTTTGAATCTCTGGGGGGGGTCTCTTTGGGGCCAGCTGGCGTTCTCGGAGG